AAATCATTTGATCTATTGTTAAAGTTAAAAACAATATTCCGTACACGTCGAATTCAGTTGTTGAGGTTGTCGAAACTGACAAGTGGTGGGTGGTTGGTTGATTGGTTGGTTGGTAGGGAAAAAGCAGAATTACTGGATTCGATTCGATCGCATCGATTGTTTGAAGCCTGTCGACAAAATCGCTTCGTAAACTCTGCATATCCTACGTTTCTACAATTCCGCTGTAATTACTGTTTGTGCTGGCTCGTGCGTGATTTTCCTGCTAAACCGAAAAGTTACGAGTCCGATTATACACACGTAATAACGATTTCCAATGTGAATCATAAACGTTACCAGACGAAATAATCATTCACTGTGTAACCAAAACAACCGTGTATTTTGTAGTTTTCCATAAAAAACACTAAAACGAAATCCGGGGGATAACGTAACGAGGGAACGCGTTTTTAAAACGTTCCGCATATTTTTTTTGTTTTTCTTTCTTTATCCTCTTCCTTTTTTTTTTCTTCCTTCCATCCTCTTGCCGTTCGCTTTTTTACCCTGCTACTACTACTACTATTTATTTTCATGCGAGTTTTCATAACGATCAGTAAAATAAACCGACAAGGATACTTATTTAAATATAAACGTGAGTATATGTATGTGTGTGGGTGGATATGTGCATACGTACTTGGGATGGAAAATGAAAGGAAAATTGTTGCGTACAAACGAACACGAAAACGTCGATGAATTTTAAATCCAAATTCTCTCTCTCTCTCTCTCTCTCTCTCTCTCTCTCTCTTTCTTTCTCTTTTTATTTCTCTTTCAAAAGTAGAATATCATGAAAATTCGTTCGTCATACGCAAATCCTATAAAATACTTCCAAAGATTCTCGTTATCAGATTTGAAATCGAGGTATTTCAAAGAGAAACGCGTTTCATTAAACTATCGATTACTTTATTCTTATTCTTACGAATTACATGATATTAGGTTGCGTATGAAATGTCGGATTTTAAAGTGAATATATAAAATTTCGTATCTGTTTATTTAATCAAAATAAACTCTATATTTGCTTAAATACAGTTTTCCCAACGAGATTATAATACACAGATGCCTGTCTTAAAGAAATTATGATCTTTAAATTCAATAAATTCTGATAAGGACTTTTTCAGACTGTCTTCATTTTTAGACTGTTTAGCACGTAAAAACTGTTGTAAATGTTTAACAAAATAAAATTTAGTTAGCGAAAGATCCGGTGAATAAGATAGATGCGGCAAATTTTCATATTTTAATTTATTTAAAAAAATCGGGCTAATAGTGATGAAAATACGTTTAATCGGTCAAGCTTATTTTACTTGGTTAATTAGTGCTGTATCCACTTAACCATTTTCTTCATCTTGCCAATTTCAGAAAGATGTCGTAATATTGTTGTATGGTCAATTTTCATTCTAGAAGCAAGTTCCCTTGTAGATAAAGTTGGATTCGTTTGCACCAATGTTTTCAGAGCATCATTTTTTACAGACGTCTTGGGTCTTCTTTTAAAGGGAAAATTCAGGAGACCGAATCTTTTCAAACCAACGATGTACTTTTCGATCGTTAACAGTATTCGCCTGGTTTATATTGCGTGCAAATTTTGCAGCATTATTACCAAGTTTATACTCATATATAAAAATTAAACGAATATCGGTTGAATTCATATCCTCACAAAATTTAAAAAAAATTAAAAAATTGAACACTTTTGAGAAAATCTGCTTTGTTGAAATGTGACTCTGGCAATGGATAGTACGACCATAAACAAAATTATGCTACAAACAAAAAAATAACGAAAACAGGGGGAAAAACGTTCACATGTAAAGAAAATCCGACATTTCATATGCACCAATCTAATATAATCACTATTTTCCATAACAAACACATTTACGATTAAGAAAAACTCTCTGTCTTTCTCTGTCTCTCTCTCTCTCTCTCTCTCTCTCTATAATTTAATCTAATAACAAACTGAGACGTACGTAATTATTGATCGATTCCGATAAATGAGGTCTCATTTTAAAGATATAAGTTGATAATTTTCTCTAAGTAAATTAAAAAAAAAAAAGAAAAAGAAAAACAATCGAGAATGATTCGTGCAATCAAATTCAAGATACTTGAAAAGAAAAAAAAAATACAGAAAAAATCATTAGATCCTTTAATTAAAACTTAGATTATTCGAAATGAAATAATTTTAATTAAAATCGATCGATAATTAATTCGGAATTTAATCATCGGCGTAAACCATTATAAAATCCAAGAAATAATGAAAAGCTTTAACGCAAGGATAATAGTTCTATTGGAGATGAAAGAGATGGATCATTAAACCGAACGGGTAAATAGTGCCTTCGCGATCGAGTTAACGTTGAATTTCGTACACACGAAACAAGAGTGAGCGAGAGAGAGAGAGAGAGAGAGAGAGAGAGAGAGAGAGAGAGAGAGAGCCAATTTCGAATAATTTCATTGACTAAACATCAGCAGACCACTTCATTAGTGCAGGATATAAAAGAGGTCTACGATTACGGATGGGGAATAAAGAAAGCAGCGGCGTTAGAAATATTCTAAACGATTTTACGCTTCATTTTTCATCCCTTTTTCTCTCTCTCTAGGTGAAATGAAAAATTTAAGAAGCAAAAAAAATTTGTAAACGAAAGTTCGGCCGATCAATCGTTAAATCCTGTTTACTAAAAATTAATTTTTTAAAAAAAGAATAAATTACAAAAGCTAGAATCTAAAGCAAGGTACGTTTAATCTGCTAGAACTAGAAACCACGACATCGATGTTACTCAATGTTCTGCGTACTCCATTAGACGATAACAAATTAATTATGGCTTAAACACAAGCACGTACTTAGACCATAGACACCACAAGTGTAATGTTGGAAGAGAAGGAAAGGGAGAGGGTGATTGGGGACTGGGAAGGAGAAATACAGAGACACGATCAACGCAATTACCGAAATACAGCTCATTCTGCAAGCTTGTAACCTGAATGTAATAACCAAGGAAACAATTCAGTAGACGATCACGTAAACGTAACATACTCGACCCTAGGCATACCCCTAACCCATCGATGTTAGATTAACCGTTAGTTATAACAGGCAAACGTGTGTTCGAGACTTTCCTTGGTTATATGTATGTGATACTCTTTAGTTAGAATTAGTATAACGTGTTATACTTTACTTCGCTCCGAAAAATAGCAGTAAAAAAAGCTATTATTATAACAGGACAAAGTCCTAATAAAAAGAGGAAGCAGAAGCAGAAGCATGGAGAATACTTTACTTCGTTAATAATCAATTAAAGGTTCTCATTTATTTGCATTTATTTGATTTTTATATAAAATATTAATAGAATATAAAAATAATGATTTCTACTGTTATACGTATATCTAAGTTCGAGTGAAGCAAAGGTATAGCACGATTGATAGGCCGCGATCAGATTATGGCAATTAATGGCTCGAGTAGCAGAGATCACTTTGCTTGTAAATTAGTTCGAGTTCCGGTTAGGAACTTCCGGAATTCAACTTATCATCGCAAGTACGTGGACGTACTCTATCGGCCATCTACACGCTCAGCATAATCTATATTCCGTGCATATATATATATAGTAGTCTAGTCTCGCATTACGATCAAACCGTTTCCTACGGATCGTCAAACTATAATTATTTCATATTAATCGCGTCTACGAGATATAAATTCCGCAAATATATATATGTGTATCCACGTATACACATGTATGTGTACGTACAAACGTCGATTAGTTAAATTTCGTTCGTATGAAACGTTACTCAAATTACTACACGTCTAACGATTCTTGTAATCCAATCGCCAAAAAACGTCAACTATTTTATCTTATTTAATTAAAAAAAAAAAAATATATATATATATATATATATATATATATACGTCTCCTTAAATTAAATATTTTATATTTATATTTGGAAGGTGCATAGATATCTATTCCTAAAAATACAAAATAAAAATAAAACCGATTATTGATCGGCTACCGGTGGATAAAACGTTCATTAAAATTCATAAGTAGAAAATAGTCAAACGACATGTTAAATGAATTCAATTAAAACAAAATTACGAGTCTAACGATTCTCGAAATCCAATCGATAATTTTATTTTCTTAATTGGAATGAATAATACAAAAATCAAAGTTAAACGACAAGTGAGATAAATGAAATAAATGAAAACTTCAGAACACACACACTTTCTCTCTCTCTCCCCCTTTTTAATATATTCTCAAAATAAATCCGATAAGTTGAACGTATTTCTTGAAAAAAGAAAATAAAAGTAAAATAAAAATGAAGACACATCTCTAAAGAACTGCGACGACAAAACGATTCGTTAAGAATTAACCCACGTACGATATCACCGTCGAGTACTTGTCGAGGTTCTTTCGTAAAATCGATCAGCTTGGTAACAGCGTTGATAGGATCGACAGGTAGCGAACGGGGAAACAATAGAGGATCGCTTGAAAGATCGACGTTGGTGTTGTGAACTGGCTATCTTGTGTGCTAAAGTACTATAAAACGAAAATTGACAGGAGTACCCCTAATATTAATTAAACATTTCCAATAAATGAAGAACAATAAAAACAATGAAATATCAGCATAAAATCTATCATGGTAACGCGATATCGAAGGATACAGGAGACAATAAAATTCTGTATAAAAAGACAAAAAAAATCACTTGGTTCGCATATCTTCTCGATGAACTTAACGATCGACGTTGCTACGAACTGACTATCAAATAATAATAATAAAGAAATGAAATAGGTTAACGGAAAGAATATATGTCACATATTTTGTTTGTATCTACGATAGGAAATCAAAGGAGTCAGGAATCAATGGAATAAGCGAAAGATCATTTGGTCGACGTATCTTCTCAATATAGAAACTATCTAGAAACAGAAAGAGCGGAAGTGAGAGAGAGAGAGAGAGAGCATAAAGGCTATTCATGCGAGGAGATAATGGGTTAAGTGGGTACTACTCACAACGTCGATGAGCTGGGAGAGGCGTAGTCCCATTTTGACAGTGAGGCGATCGCTGTTGTTGCCAACGGGGCGGATGAGGCGGTTGTAGTTCGACAGCAGGTCATCGTAAAGACGCTTCGCTTCCGGATTGGCCGAGGCGCCCGGAAACGGGACAACGAGACAGGAAATGGCTGTCGCCATCGCCAGCAATCCGCCCAACCTGGACCAACATCGCCACCAGCCTTTCCCACCGTCGTTCGTCCAAGCATCCCTAAGCATCGTACGCCTTGTCCACCCCTAAATCAAACAAACAAACAAACCAATTCGTTATGATCTTGTTTCTTACCCTTCTTTTTCATTCTTATCAGCTTATTCTTATCCCATAGACAAACTTTCTTTTTTCTTTTTTTTTCTATGACTATCATTCGTTCCTTCCTTTATTTCACCCTCAGTCCCCCACCACCCACCGCTTTCCTTTTATTTCCTTCTCGGATCCCAAAAAACTTTAGAAGGAGTAAAACTATATAATAAAAAAGTGGTCCTAAATATGTTTTTACTGATGGAAACAAATGAATGGCATTTAAATGAATTTGTTTAAACATATCTATCAGAATTCATGTGAAAACTATTCTCATCTTTATTTTTTATGATCTAAAACAAATGGTATTAGATGTGTTAGTCGTAAGATACGATTTAAACGATAGTAGTTCAATAGTCTCTCGTAAATAGAATCGGTCTTTCAGTAATCACGTTTTCTGGTTACTTTGTCAGACACCTAAAAGCCGTAACGGTTTATCCGTAACCCGGAATGTTCAAGCGAACCGTGAGATCATTTTCACGCATTGCCCCTACGAAATGCCAGTTGAATTCGCGAATGTGTTGGTCAATGGACGGATAGAAAAGATAGATAGATAGATAAATCGATAAAGATAGAAGGGAAATTCGTACAAGTTCAAAATTCAAAATTTGACTAACGCGATTCATCGAACATAGTCTCATCTCTCTTTATATATACTATGCAATACGTATATTTATATATATAAAATATATATGTAAAATAGTAGTAACATGTAAACGGAGAAAAGGCACGCACGTGAAGCTATAAAACGACGCACGAAAGGATACGGCAAAGCGAACTGGAACGCTTTACGTATTTGCTGTTATGACTAGGAGAGCTTTGCTACGTCGGGAAGGAATGCCAGCAAATAGAGCTTTACGAGTACCAGGATGAGAACTACATAGAGTAAAAAAAAGAAAGAAAGAAAGAAAGAAAAAAGAATAGAAATAAAAATAAAGAAAGAAACAAAGAGAGAGACAGAAATAGAGAAAGATCGTTTGCTCATCTCGTTTACAGAAAGAATGGATGCATTGTAATAGGGGAAAAAATATTGAGATAAAGGTACTAAAGGAAAAGAGAGAGAGAGAGAGAGAGAGAGAGAGAAAAAGAGACTGGTAAGAAAAACATGAGTTAGCAAGAAAATTTGATCCGCACCCTACGCGTATAGAAAAACCTTACGGTATCGACCCAACTGGCCACAGAATTTTTGCACTGTCCTTCCCTATCTTTCTTTATCTATCTACCTATCTCTCTCTCACTCACTCTTTCTATAAATCTTCAAGTTTTTCATATTTCTTGACGATTATCGCGAAAACGACCTTTAGCTTCGACCGTTATAAATCAAAGGGACTCGAAGAAGAAGAAGAAGAAGAAACCACAAGGAAAACGCATGATGGATTATAAAGTTTCAGCTGGCTGATCGATAATAAAAGAGCTTTTATGCTTTTGATCCTACAATCATGATTCTTAACGCGTCTAACATTGAACAGTGAAGAATTTATTGGATCTAAACTTTGATCTATTTGATCAGAATTTATAACATTTTTAAAAATGGTTTTACTTTTAATTGAACAATCGTAATCGATGTTTACTTGTAATTTACGAACGCTACATTAAAACAAAGAGAAAAAGAACAATAATTTGCACAAGTATCATTTCTTATTTAATAAATAAAAGAAATGTGTGTGATGTATAATTAAATAATATGATTCATTTTTATTGAAAATTAAGTAAACTTCTAGACAGGTTAATCTACTTTAAAAGATATTCCTTTATATAATAGAAATGATAATAATTTTGAAATTAATTCACGTAATTTACATTTTGCCACTCGATATAGGATCGTTACTAACGACAACGGTGTCATGGTTGCAGCATAAGAAGCAAGAGTTAGGATAATCGAACGAGAGGAGTCATTTACCATCCGTGGTAGAAGAGAGCGTAACCGCCCATAAAAGAGGACTTGAACGGCATCGTTGTGTCGTTGAAAAGAAAGAGGGGTGGTTGGAGGGAAGAAGAAGGGTGTGGGCGAGGGTGAGGGTGAGAGAAGAGGTAGAGAAGGGGGTGAAAGGGAAGAACCTCTCGAGGAACTTTTATCGCTTCGTTGCTGACCTACCTGCTGCCTTTATCAGTGTACCCTATACTATAAATATATATATATATGTATATGTGTGTGCGTGTGTGTATGTATAATACATACACTTGCACATAAACACAATACATACGCACAAGACGACGGCACAAATACTGGTATATAGAATTGTATCGACTACTCTAAGGAGGGGAGTACACTTTTATATTTGTATTTTAAAAGGACAACCTCTGAAGCTTTCTCGCACGCGTACCTGTTACTTCAAATGTTCCTTTTTACTACTTTCTACTTTGTTTCTGTCATATTTTTTTCCTAAATATATTCTTTTTTTAATATATTATAAAATTTTATTTAATATATATAAAAGGCAGAATTACATACTTCACCAAGATAATATATGAATTTATAATATATGTAGCAAAATTTACGATAAGATTATCCCTGATCGATTATTTTTTTTTTTTTTACTTTTTAAAGTAAAGTTCAACGATTCTCATGTAAAATACATTAATTATAGAAATATAAGATTTCGATATTCGTACGTATTACCCCTACATGGAAAAACTTTCGAAGAAAGATCGAAAATAATGGAAAACACGAAGAATAAAGTATAAACGAGATTGTTACTGCTTCGAACTGCTTGTTACTTTCCCCCCGTCGTCGTCGTCGTCGTTGTCGTTGTCGTCATTGTCGTTGTCAGTGTCGTCGTTATCAAGTTAAAAGGTCCAAGAAAAATAGTACGTTAAAAAAGGAAAAGAAAGAACATAAGGAAGTAAGTATTTTTATCGTTTCCTAGGATGAGCTCTCTCTCTCTCTCTCTCTCTCTCTCTTTCTCTCTTTCACTCACTCACTGATTCACTCTTTCTTATCCCTTTTATCACGCCCTACGATTCGATAGACTATTTTTCTGTATTAGAAAATGAAAAATGGCGCTGGGCCAAGATGGCCAAACCAACTCAAGAAGCAAACCCCGAGGGCTCTCTTATCGAGCTACTGTCGGCTCACGACTGTCCATAAATAAGACGACCCTCGCGGTCATTATCAACCCCCTTCAACCCCCTCCTTCCCCAACTAATTTTCCATCTTCCTATCTCTCTCTCTCTCTCTCTCTCCTTTCTCTTTCTCTACTTTTTATATGCATTTCACGAATTAACTATCCCTAATATTCAGGATAATTTATACAAATACTAGTCTTACGTTAATCCTTTTAATTTCATTTTTTCTAATCATCGCCACTCGTTTGTTTCAAGGTTCAAATAAAAAAGCCTCCGAAATGTTGAAATGTTGGTTCATTGAGGAAAATGAAAGTACTGTGCCGAATGATAATAAATAATCTCTCCTTCTCTCTCTCTCTCTCTCTCTTTTCGTCTCTGTTAAGATTACAGTAGCTATTATTTTGGCAAAATGAAGCTCGAAATTGGCAGAAGTTTCAACCGCTATGTGGATTAATTTAACGAGTATACTGCAACAACATTGCGTGCAGGCAAACGTAATGCATAGAGAAATTCGTTGTAATAGAACTGTCCGTTGATAACGAATGAAGTAGAATTAGGCAGAATAAACTGATTTAACAATGAGTATAAATACGAAATCCTCGTTAATTGAACGAATCGGTAAACGGATCGTATGACAAATAAAAATATGTTTCCTATAATAACGTTTCTTACATTTCGTACTAATTATTCAATTAATCTGTATGGTATATTAATATTTTCATCTTACAATCTTTTTCTTTCTTCCTTTGAGTATTGAACTAGACGTATAATATAAGAATATCCGAATACAGTGGCTTTTATTCGCGCTCGGCCAATCACGTTCCATTGTACAACGCAGCCGTTTCAAAATGCTTGAATAGGATAAGCGTTTCTTTTTAACCTTCGCAAAAGGCATCAAAGAACCGTGGCGATTCCTTCTCGAGATTCGGCTTAAATATGAAACTGTTTCTGAAGTCTAAAGTCGTCTTTACATGAATATGTTCAAAATGAAAGATTAAACCGTATTCAAGTATGAATAAGGTAGGTGGTGTACAGGATTTAGAACGACATACGGATAGTTGACTGTAAAATCTAGGCCGATTTAAGTTCATTCCAAATTGATATACTAATCGCGATACACACACCTATTACGGATCTTCCATAAATTTCGATTATCGTTTCAACTGACAATATAAATACCATTATTTCGGCATTTTCAAATTACAGTGAAAAATCTATTGTGAAAATATAATTGTTTTGTTTTATAAAAGAAAAAAAGAGAGAAATATATACACATGAATATAATGGAAATTATAATTAAAAAAGAGAAATAATCTATAAAGAATAACCTTTCTTTATTTCTCTTTACAAACCTATTATCAGAATATACAGAACGATGAAAAGAAATTATTTTCTTTTATGTCTTGCGTATATAGAGTAAAGTTTTTACCAATTGAAAGTACAAGGTAAGGTCTCGTTAAAAAGTTTTCTTTAAAGTTACCATTCGAATAAGAAAAACATAAATGTTTTATAATAGAATTACAAAAAACACGTGATTCTAGTTTAAGCTTAAACGATTCGTTTGCGTGACTGTTTCTATTATTATTCTTTTACTTTATGATGAACGATGAAATTTGTTTCGTACGATACGACGAACAACGATTAAAATAATGTACGATCTTTCGTGATACTTATCAATTAATTATACTATCAATATAATATTAAATTATATTATATCAATTAATTATTATATAAATTCGATCAATTAGAAAAATAAATAAATAAATAGTCGCAATGTTTTACAAATATGAAATAATTTATGTCGAAATTGATTAATTTATAATTAAAGTTAGGAAGACAAGCAAATGTGGTAGGGTAACAGAACAAGCCCCTA